CCATGGGAAAGCCTCAGTTTACTCCCATGTTAAATGCACTTAGTAATGGCACCTATCTCATTAGGCTGTTGAGGGTGAGGGCATTCAAAGAGATACAGCTTGTAAAACACTTGCACAGTGTCAAAGTGTTAAATGAATGGAGCCACTATAAAGAGTAGATAGCTATTACAGAGGCTGGACAGGTACAGATGACCAAAGACCACAGGCGATACTCAGATACCTGACACCGTTTTCAGGGAAGGCCATTTGCAGTCTATGACTGTATCAGGCATGCACACCCCATCTGATTAAGTGAACTGAATTAAGGTGCCCAGGGGGTAATCAGCACTTGACCCCTACCTGCAAGACTGGCTCCCCTGCTTCTTTGCAGAAGACCTGGGTGTTGCATCTGCTTAGCCTCCTGTGTCTGTGCCCCGCGTCTCCTCATGACGCAGACCCCACAATCTCCAGTCTTGTAACTGTAATGAACTGCTCAGTAGAGGCTCCCCTCTGGCCTGAAGGCCATTACAGCAGGACAGTCCCCTGGGCAGCTCGGCCAGCCTCACCTACCAGTGCCCCCTCTGCTTCTACCTTAAATGGCATTTCTCTGCCGTAAGGCTTCCTCTGCTCACTGAGCTGACAAACACAGCCACAAAAGAAGGAAGCCATGCTCCCAAGGCTCTCAGAGCAGCCGGCAGGGCACAGCTGTTACAGCACAGAAATAAAGGGGCTGTCAGAAGAGTGATCAGTGCCCTAAAATGCATCCTGGGCCCTTGGGCTTCTGGACTCCCAGGAGGGAGACTCTGATTAGTAGCACCCTCTCCAGACTTGGGTGCCTCTGAGTTGTCCCCATGTCCCACGGCAGGTCTCAGAAGGCCCAGGAATAGATCCCATTGACAGAAAATTGGGCCCTTTCAACCTGAACATTTTGACTGTGGGTTTTGGTGCTTCTCCCTCCCTCACCACCCTCTTTCTCTCATGTGGCACCTACGCAAATTAAATACAAAATCATTTTCTGTCATTTAGGCGAATCATAGCCCCGCAGCTCCAAAATCCATACATTATAAGTAAAATATAAACTCATCCAGATCTTACTGAATCCTCTGCTCTCAGTGAACAGTGCCAGAAAAGCCATCATTGGTGTCCTGTTCTACTAGGTAAACAGGGACCCCTGAAAGGCCTGAAGGGTTACTGTGGGATTCTTCTCCTGACATGGCCCTCCACAGCACCCCACAGAAGAACTTCTTAAAACCATTCACTTGATTCTGGAAATGAATCCGTCATTGGTTTATCAAAGCATCAACAAACCTTGCTAATCACTTAACCCAAATTCAACACAAAAATTAACCAAGTCCCAGAGATGGTAAGTGTTTCATCCATAGTCACTCAGCAGCATCTCAATTTCAGCACAAGAAACTCTAGTTTAGGAACACTCTTGCCTAAACCTTTCTAATTTATTTATTTAGGCAGTACTAGGAGTTGAACTTAGGACATCACACTAGCGAGGCACGCACCCTATTACTTAAACCACACAGCCAGTCCTTTTTTGCTTTTAGTTATTTTTCAGGTAGGATCTTCCATCTCCTCCCAGGGCCAGCTGAACCACAATCCTCCTACCTCTGGCCTCCCGTGTAGCTGAGATCATAGACGCATGCCACCACACCCAGTTTATTGCGACTGGATCTTGCTAACCTTTGGCCCAGGCTGGCTTAGAACCACAATGCTTCCAGTGTCCTAAGTAGCTGGGATTACAGATGTAAACCAAACGCCAAATCTCTTGTTTTTAAATAGGAGACTTACAGGAAACAGCCATAATAGAAGTTTTTAATAATGTAGGGTGAAATGCCATGTAACTCCTTGGCCTCCCATGCTTGCCTGGTAAAGAACTGTCATATAGGAAACCTGAGTCCCGAACCAAATAGCCACAAATGTTCTCCCTAACTGGGAGGCCCAAAGACTCCAGCCAGGTCTGCACCACCCACCTCCTGCACTAACTGCCATCCTGTGCCAGTGTACAGCAGGGTAGATGCCAAGGGATGTCCTCAAACACACTCCCTTGCCCATAAAGCACAGCGTGAAAAAGTGAGGCATGCTGTAAGCAGCCACATAGGGATGAAACCTTTAGTTTCACAGATTCTGTAACCAACATTTTCTCATCAAAATTTGTGACACATGGGCTGACAGCAGGACAGAATATTAAAACTCAGTCCTCCCTGAGAAATCGGGCCATACGGTTGCCATGCCAACACACCACAACGCCAAACAAGCATCTCCAAGGTCCAGAAACAACTTAGCTGGCTTGGAATAGGCCAGACAGCATAAAGGCAAAGCTGCCTCCCAGTCCAGGCTCTCACGCAGACCCTCCCTTTCCCAGCCCAGCAATCTGATTTCCCAGGAGAGTGGTGATGACGCTTGTCTGAATTTGCTCGGGTCTCCAACAGCAGGGCTGGCCACCTCATTCTCTAAGAATCTGCAAGTCCTAATTCAGCGGCCTGGCCCAACTTGACAGAGAAATGTTTTACAATGGCAAGAATGGTGAGTGGTTACCACAGATTTCAGGAAGCAAGCAAGTCCTGAGCTGTACCTGCCCCCTTTAAAGCATCCTGGAGATGCTGGAGCATGCCTTCCCTTACCTCCTTACTTACTGTCAGGCTGGAGTTACAAATAAACAACAAGGGGATTTGAAGCTCAGACCACTGACTGCTCCCAGAAATGGGCAAAATTTCTACCGCACTTCTTTATAAAAGAAGGCTTATTAAGTCTTGTTGTGTGCATCAATGTAGAAATGCCAGGAACTTCCACCTTACATTCAGCTGAGAATTACAGGGAAGTGAACTGACTGCAAGATAGGAATATAACGCAGTGCAAGGCAGTATGAAGGATTGTCTGCAATCAGACTGATGCTGGCTGAACAGACATCCAGGGATAACGCTTAAGAACAGACAGGGAGCTGGCTGTGTGTCTAAGTAGCTAGAGAATGCACTGTCACACCACTTCCCCCCTCCCCACTACTTCTACCTTTTTCTGTCTTCCTGCACCTGCACTTCCTGGATCCCAGGTATCTATTTCCCAGATTCTCCTTAGCACCTTACACTTAGCTTCCTTTCTTACCTGTAGGAAATCATCTGTGGGAAGGAGGGGCGGGCGAGAGGGTGTTCATCCCCCATCGCCTTCAATTCCCACCCTTAAAAACTAGTGCTGTCTCTCTCCAGCAGTGCCCCCAACACACACATGCAAACCCCATTCTAGGGTTCTCATCTGTGAGGGGTCCCAGAGCTCCCCTTCTAGCTCACAGCTTCCTCCCCCATCAGGTCACCAGAGAGAGGAACAGGGCATCCGACCAGCCTGCCTCTGCCCTGCTGGCCCCCGGCCACCTTCCCTGAGACCAGGGATAGTCCTCTCTGGGAGTAAGAATGGGAGCCGCTGGAACTGGTGATGTGGGAGCTCCCTGGGATCTGGGGCCACCACTGGTTCCCCAAGTTTCATGCCAAGCAGCCAGTGCACCTAGTCTCAGCATAGGAAGCTTTTCCTCTAGTCTTTCTGCCCAAACATTGACAAGTGCTTTGGAAATTGTCCTGGGGACAGCCTAGAAAGAGACGATCCACCTGGTCAGGAATCCAGACTAGGATCTAGGATAAAACCACCACTAATAACTCCTCAAGCCGGGCCAGAAACGATGGTTCCTTCATGGGGGGCTGGGGGGGTGTTCCTTCTTCCCAGATGGATAATGAGAGCTGGATCTGGGGCAGGGTGGGGATATGAGTGTGTCCACAAGGACGCTCCCATCTGCTTGGGGTTCACAGTCGCCTTTGTACAAGTACCTCGGATCTATTCTGTACAAGCACCGACCCTCCCTGCGAGGCTATTATGCCCTCCTCCTCTGGGCCTAGATCTTTCCTTGTCAGAACTGCACCCTCCCCCACTCTCATATCCTTGCCAGGCTCTCTGCTCTCTTTCTTCCTGGTCCTTGTCACAGCAGGCTACTCCTGTCTGGCAGTCTGTCCCGAGGGTTGTCCGAGACCCTTGCCCAGCATCCACCCCTGTTGGAAGAACGCGCTGGTTCGAGTGCACTCTCGGCAGGTCCAGAGTCTCCTGCCTCAACAGGTGCCCCTGCCTGGTTACACCGAGCTGTCACTCCGAGCCGGGGCGAAGGCGGCGGCTGGATCGCCCCCTGCAGGGCAGCTGAGGCTCCGCATGCCCCCTTCCGGGTCCCTACAGCTCCAAGGGCCCCTGCAGCTCCGCCGAGGCCCCCGCTGTGCCACACCGTCTTTGTTTCCCCGCTCTCTCAGACGTCGCAGTGTCTGTCCTCGTGCGAGGGAATCGCACAGCCTAGCGTGAGCACTGTCCGCTCACCTGCAGCGGTGGGCCCTGGTGCTGGGGTAACGCGCAGACAAGACGAGACCTTCCCCCCCATCCAGAGAATCCCCGTGGGAGGTGGGGGGGGGCAATGTCGATGAAACAGATTCAAGTTGATCCGGGCTGAGGAGGGGGCGCTAAGCCAGGAGCAAAGCTTAGCGACCCTTCCCTATCTACACCCCTACCCCAAGTCCTTTACCCCAGGAGACTGAAGACCGGGTGCGCACTGCCACCTACGCGCTCTGCTGCGCGGCTCCCACCGCTGGCTCACTGCGCGCAGGGGCCAGCCACCATCCGGGCGTGCGAGGCCGGCAGCTCCCAGCCCCGCAGCCCCCAGTCCCGCAGCCCCCAGCCCTCAGCGCAGTGTCGGGAGAGCAGCCACGTTCCCAGCCGCGCGCGCGCGCGCGCCGGGCCCACCAAACTTGCAGCACTTTCTCCCAGCCCCCACCCGCTGTCACCCTCCCTCCATCGGTGTACCCTGGCCCCTGCGGGCCGGCAAAGGTTGCCATAACAACAGGCAGGAATGCTCCAACGTATACAAAGCCGGCCCGGCCCAACCCGGCGAGCCACGCAGCCCCCGGCCGGGCCCCGCGACCTCGGCTGCCGCGCGGGGGCAGGACGCGCACCGCGACTCCCCGGCCGCCCGACGCGCCAGGCGTACTCACAATGAGCGGGATGGTGCGGTCTTCGCGGAGTGGCTCTGGCCTCCCTCCGGCCCTCTGCGCGCCCCGGCCACCGGAGGATGCTGCGTGGGCTCGGTTGTCCTGCCATAAGTAGTAGAAAGTGCCCAGGATCCAGGCTACGGTCAGGATGGCGATGGCATTGGCGCGGATCTTCCTCATGGTGGGCGTACGGGCGTTCCGGTGGGGGCCGGGGCCGAGGCCGGCGTGCTCTTGGGGCCGAGGCCGTGGCGGGGGCGCTCGCAGTCCCAGCTGTTTGTTTTCTCTCGCGCCTGGCTGCTCAGTCCTGCAAAGCAGAAAAAAGAGAGAGGTTGGGGCGGGGGGGGGGTGATAGGGAGAGACAGGAGCGCGGAGCGATCCTCACGGTCCTAATGCCCTTCAGCCCCGAGCGCGCGCATCCCCCCAGCGCCCATTCATTCGCGCGCCGAGCCGACTCCGAGCCCCAGCGGCCACCAGCCGCCCCGGCGCTGCGCACCGGCAGAGGAGCGCGCCGGGTGGGAAGTAGCGCGGGTCTTCCTCCGCGCCCAGGGAGACGGCTAGACAGACGCCCGCGGCGGAATGGCGACAGGCCAGACCCAGCCTTGGCTTCCACCGCTCGGCGACTGATCGCCCAGCAGCTGCGCCCGCGCGGCCTTGGTCGCCCCACCTACCCACACTCACCCTCCGACCGAGCGGCCTTGAGTCACCCGCTGGAGATGCGCGACCCTCAGCCTTGGCTCGCGCCGCGGAGCCGCATTCCGGGCGGCGCTCTGAACTGGCGCGGGGTTCAAGGTGTGTTCAGCGAGTCCTCAGTTAGAGACGGTTGGGCGAGGAGGAGAGCCCTAAGTTTGCACCGAAATTCTCCGCATCCTAGGATTCCGAGCCGCTGGAGGGCCCGGAAAGCTGGTGCACTTGACATTCGGGGAGAGCGCAGGGGAAGCAACGCTCGCTGTCTCCCAGCCAGGGCAAGCAGAATGGAGAAAGCAAATACTGCACATCTTTTACTCAGCTTTCATGAAACTTCCTTCCCTTCTACCCTGTCTCATGTCCCCTGGACAACCCTGAGGTATCATCACCATTTCATCACAAAGAAGGAAAGCCAAAGGAGTCCAAGACCACACGGCTAAAGTGGACAGAGCTCAGTCTACAATCTTCTGACACTTTCCTACAAAGTGCCGCCTCTCTGGTGGTGAGAGAGGACACAGACATCATTGAGTTTCTACTCCAAGGCGTGAATCAGGTGTGAAAGTCTCACTCCAGGCAGAAGGCCAGGTGGGCTAGATTAGCTGGACTAGCACAGGATTCAGCCAGGGGCAAACATTCAATGAATAGAGGTGAAATACCCAAGCCAGGAAGAGGAAGAAATAACTTATTGTAAGTGGTCTTTGGGAAGACTTCTTAGAGAAGGTGGATAAATCTGAGAAAATCCTAAAGAGGCAGGGAAGGGGCAGAGGAAGTCAGGGCACAAATAGCCACCCAGCAAAGGTCCTAAGGAAGGAAGTCCTTGATGTGTTGAGGGAGAGAGAGAGCTGGGTGCTGGGAAGGACTTGATAGAACTTGAGAGTAGTCAGTCTGGGTGAGTGTGGACTTGGGAGGGCCTTGAATGCCATGGGTGGGCTTGTTTCCTGCACATGCTGCCGAATAGCTTGGCTCTTCTGAAAACCCGGGAAGTGTTGGGCCTGTAAATGAAGCCATCTGGAGAATCAGGCAAACAGTGAGGTCCCAGCGTCATGTCCTCCCCCAACCACACCATCAGTATTACACTGAGGCACAGAAGCAAAATAAGCTGGTGTTCTTTCTACAGCACTTGGGACCGAACCAGGTTCATAACAGGTGCTCAGCACATTTCTATTGAAGTGAAGAAAACCAGTTGGCTTTTTTGTTCTAGAAAACCCAGGGTCATTATTGCAATTATGATATACATTGACTCAGAAGACCATCACGAGGACACCTAGCCTAGTCCAAAAATGGCCAACTAGGAATGTGACCTTCCAAAGAAGAGAAAGCACCAGAGGGTCTCACAAATGGTCTATGAAAGTAGCAGGGAGCCTGAGGAACGTGTTGTGTGGTGGTCACAAACAATAGGGGAAGGGTGCAAACATGCCACTGGGCTGAGCAGCAGATCACCCTGGCTCTCCCAGGTGTCTCTTGCCTAGGGAATTTAATCAGAACTCATAGGGGCCAGGATCATTAGCACAGATGGAGAAAACCACTGTCAAGCCAATGCCTGGTTTCCATGGGAATTAGGGGCAGATCTGGTGCCCAGGGATCTGTGAAAGGCCAGGGAAGACCTTGCTGTTAGGTATCAGGCTCCACAGACACCTCCAGTGCTCCTGGTGCCCCCATTTTCACACAGGCTTTCAAATGGGCCAGGTGGAAAGACTTGGGGACTATCTGTTTCAATAAACTGCCCCTCCTTACATTGGGCCTAACCCTGCCGAGTTGTTTTCATCTGGAGAGAACCAGATGAAAGGACATGAGGTCTCAAGACATCCTAAGAACTCCTGGTAAGAGGTTCCAATCTCACCCCTGGGTAGGGGGGATGGAGCTGGACCAGACCAGGCTGATGTCAGGCCCATGGGATTCTGGTGGCCCCAGAAGGCAGGCTCCATGAGAAAGGAAGGGAGGAGCTGAAACTTGTCAGGGTTTCTATAAGTCTCACCACTTATTTCCCTGGACTTAGGAGACCACTTGTCATTGCCTGCCCTATCCTTAAGAGAAGAATCCCCTCACTCACCATGAGAGAAGCCTCCTTGGCACAAGCAGCCCTGTCTTATGGATCAGCACTTCCACACTCGAGGGAAAGAAGTTACCATACTCATTTAACTGACATAGAAGCTGACTGATGTGCTGAAGCCACCGGCACTCTGGTAGAGCTGGGGACTAGAAGCTGCCACCTCAGCTATAGCCCATGTCTTCTTTCTGGATTTGAATCCCAAATGGGCCCAGAACTGATCCTGGGGTAGTGATCAGGATGGCAATGAGTGTTGTTTCTTCCATAGTCCTAGCAGTGTGTCTAGAGACTTGCTCTTCCTAAGACTCACTGAACTTTGGAAACACCAAGAGTAATTGTAATGGCCACAGGTTACTGAGGGCTTCCCAGTGCCAGGCGCTATGCCAGCATTCCACATGAACTATCCTGGAGCCCCCACAACCCTCAGCTCAGTTAGGGATCATCGTCCCACCTGCACATGAGAATGCTGAGCCTCCACGAGGCTACTCAACTGCTCTGGAGTCACACAGCTGGATAGCAATGGAGCTGGGTTTAAACCCTGTGCCATCACCAGTGCCAGGGCAGAGAAGTCTGTAGGGTGGTCACGTCTGGGTGCTGGAGTCTCATTTCTGTCGTGGGCTTGTTTTCTTCTCTGTAAAAGGAGGGATACAGCCTCCATCCAAATGAGCCATTTCCATCTTCTAGTTCCTCAGCATCTTCCCCCCTTTGGCATTTCTCTCAGGTACAGTTAATCTCTTTTAAAGCTGACAAAGCCAGTATTCAGGGTGAACTAGGCAAAATCACATGTGCTCCTGAGGCTCTCAGAGACCCCAAGAGCTCTCTGTTCCTGTGTATTTGGTGTAGGGGCTGGGGGAGTGGATAACAGAGGGGAGAAAGGGTCCAATTCAGTGTAAGCCCCTGCCTCTGGAGTTGGATGATTTCATTTAAATGCTGATTGCATAAAGGAGAGGGACTTGAACAGATTCTCAACCTCAGTTTCCTCAACCATACAACGGGGGCATCGACAGCCCTTAGCTTGCAGCATTGTTGGGAAAGATGAAATGAAGTAAGGTAGGCATGTGAGATCGGTGCCCGCTGTCCATCCCAGTCCCCTCCCACAGGTAAGCTGCTCATTGCTAGGGGTAAGAGGGAACTCTGGAAGGGCCTGCCCAGGGCAAGAAGAGACCCAGGCAGGCCTCTACAGCCACCCCTACAGCCCAATAAGGACAGACTGTTCTGCCCCACAGCTGGGTGGTGGCCTCTTCCAGAGCCTCCGCTGAGCAGGCTGAGGCAGGGAAGAGGCAAGGCATAGAGCAGAGCCCTAGCCTCTCTATGCCCATCACCCTTAAGACCCCAGGCCTGCTCAGGAGCTTCTTGCCCTGTCTGCCACAGCAGCAGGGGCCCAGAAGGTAGGTGAGCAGACCTGGTTTGACTCCTCGCTCCACATCCCACACATCTGCTTTAAGCAGGTAACATGCACTGTGCTGAACGCAATCTTCCCATAAGGAAGGCCCCATTTCAGATGAGGACACTGATGTCTACAAAGCCATCCAGTGGAGCATATGCTACCACACTTAATGTACCAGTTGTCTCTAAGGGAAGGGTATAAGTTAAGTTTGTATAATGCACTGAGGATGGAGGGGAGGACCTGTCACCTTGAAAGGAACTCCCAGAGTCTTACTAGCAATCCTCTTCCTCCTGTTTGAGAACATTGACTTTTCATTAGTTTCTGTCACTGGAGTGTAAACTCCATGGGGGCAAGATGTGTGGGTGTCAGGGCTAGGGACCAAATCAAGACCTGTGCTGCATAGGCAAGTGCTCTACCCAATCATCCAGATTCTTGTTTTGTTTAATGCTTTCCCCAGTGCTTGGGACAGTGCTTTACAGTACTGGCACACAGTACATGCTTATTCGATATTTATTGATGGGAGGGAAGAGAGAAAGGAAAGAAGAAAAAGAAACCTCTGTGAAGCACAAACTTCTATAAGTTCATCACTTGAGAGGTGGGTGTAGGACTAGAGCCCAAATAGGACAATTTGTTTAGGGTCTGGGTGGGCTAGGGTAGTGAGTTCCCTTAGTAGTGCTTCCAGAACAGCTGACTCTCCTCCAATCATGGGGCCAGGAGCCAAACCCTGCTGCCTCAAGACGAGAGGTTGTAAGGAAATCTTTTTAGGTCCCATAAGAAGTCAGAGAAGGTCAGGGTACAGATGGCTCATGCTTATTATCCTAGCTACTTGTGAGGCAGCGATCAGGAGGATGGTGGTTCAAAGTCAGTCTGGGCAAATATTGGAGAGACATTATCTTGAAAACACCTAACACAAAAAAGGCTGTCAGAATGGCTCAAGTGGTAAAGCACCTGCCTCGCAAGTGTGAGGCCCTGAGTTCAAACCCCAGTACCTCCAAGGAAAAAAAAAAAGCCAGAGAAGGAATGCCCCCAGTTGCAGGAACTACAAATGTTACTGCTAATCATGAAGTGAACCCAGCTGTTGCATTTGGGAATGACAGGCTGCAGAAGCTTTGGGCTAATTAGAAATGTGTCAGATGCTCTTTATTAACAGCAAGGAATTCATTAAAAAAAAAAAAAGAGAGAAATCTTTTAATAAAGTCGGGTAGAGTCCTTTCCAACGCTCCTTGACCTTGCCATCTCCACCACCTTCTCCTTTGCCTCTTCCCCTTCTCCACTGGGCTCAGTGGCAAAAGTCACCAGAGCAGACCAGATGGCCCCCCAAGATGCCAAGCCAGACCTCTCCCCCTGAGCAGGGACTTCAGCCTTCTGTAGTGTATCATGAATTTCCAGCATAGTGCTATCTGTGCCGAGGGAGGAAGGGAGGAAGGAAGGAAGATCGGAGA